TTTTCTGAAATTGCAGACTGGCTCACAGCAGGAGGCCTGTCAGTGTTCTAGCAGTGTGACACAAACATTTGTGATACRTATCATAATACTAAACCACAAAATTCCAGTGTCTCGGCTCAAATGAGAAACTGCATAAAGTCAATACTGCTGGTAGTAAGAGTACATTTCTGTCCAATTTTCACCTTGGCCTGGATTAGCAGGCTGCCACCCATTTGAAGAAACAACTGAAGCTAACTTACTGTCTTTAATTAAAATGGCATTAAGGAACATCCTTCTGGCAACTGTGGAAAGAGAATCTCTGAGCCATTTGGACACTACAAATGTGTTAGACTGAACTTTTAAGTTTTCTGAAACAATTCTGGCAAAGTATTCAGTATTTCTAATGTTGGCAACAAGCTGAGCCAGGACTTACAACATGATAGATGAGATAAAGTATTTTAATATTGTTTGTAAAAAGCAGCACATGGAATTAATAAATTACCTTTGGTGGTGATGGCCAAAAAAGCGAACATCTACTTGATTGTCCTCTTTCTGCATGACTTTGGCTGGCCAAAACCCAAAGCCTTTCATTTTGGCCCAAACCAACTCATGATTAGGTATCTAGAAAAAAAAAAAAGTGGTATTTATTAGTGGATATGAAATATTATACTGCTATCTCCCACAAATATTCTGCTGTAATACTATGCTAGTACATGGTTACAGTTTATGTCTAGAGCTATTTTCATTTTATCTTCTTATAATACATTTCCTTGTTAGATCTATTGCTTGGATCAAAGTAAAAGAGACCCCAAGACAACAAAGCCTGAAAAGGGTATAACTGTCTATTGAAAACAGAGATCTTAAGCAGCCTAAAAATWAACTTGTCTTTTTAGCTTCATTCAGGAGCAAAGTTTTAGTTCTGTAAGCTCCTTATTTTCTTGTGCAACTGTTGTAACTGGCTGATATCCAAGTTTTATAACCCATATTGTTACAGCTTTGAACTTCAATCAACACTTCACTTGTGTAAAATATCCAGGCTTCCAAGAGTCTTAACCATGCTTTTGAAACAAGCCCCTGAAATGGAATATTCAATGCATTAATGACACCAGAAGTGCAGGATTTGATACAGAAAAGCAAACAAATAAAMATCTGTGTCAGCAACATACACAGGGATAGCAGAACCAATTGTCAGGTCGTGCATTTGACAAATAGAAACAGTTCTTGCAAAGCTGCAGTTCATCCAGCTGAAAAACAAAAAAATAGGTAAATAAGCACAAAGAATTCCTACTTATTTGATTTCAGCAGCATCCCTCTCCCTTAAGTAGTAAAATTTTCAGCCCTGCTTGCTAATTTGGTGGAGTTACATTTGTGTGTGCAGACTAAAGGTGTGAAACTGAGGTGGGCTGTGAGAGGCTGAAGACAACCCAAAGAAATATTATTCATGTTTCAGAAAACCCAGRCAGAGGGAGAAGACTAATTGACATATTAATAATCTATAATAGATGAAATGCAAAGAATAGTTCTTAAAATTCATAAAATATTTAAGGTACATTGTGAAAGAAATAATTCAACTGCACAAAAGGAGAAAGTATGCCAGTTCCTCAGCTGTATTTTTTGGTCTCCTCTGAATGTGGAGAAATGTTTTGATGCCAATTAGAGACTTTAGTAGGAATCTTAAGTTCAATTTTTAAGTACAGTTATTTCTAGTCTAAATATGTATTACTCAATTATTTTCAAAAAATCTGAATATCAGTGTTTTTAAAAATATAATCTAGTTGCAAAAAAAAAGCCCAAACAAAACAACAGCAACAACAATAACAACAGCAAAAACCAACCAAACATGAAAAAAAAATGAAAGAAAGAGGGAAAGGAATGATTCAGCTGCTAGACTGTCTGGAGAAAATTTTTAACTCAATTTCACATCCTTTTTACTTTTGTAATATGAAGAATAATTTCTTTGATTCTGAAATGAAAATCAAGCACTTTGACTTCATCTTGGTTTCTCGGTAGTACTTACTTCATGACAGGTGTCTTTGTAAAGCATCCTTGCTATATCAGCTTGTTCACTGTCCGCTATAAATTAAAAATAGATGGTATAAACAATCACAGTATGATCACAGTGCTCACAAACAYTTGCAGCTGTCACTGCTGTGACTTTCATGCTATAATTGTCGTGCTTAAGAAGACAAAACATCATTTAATCACTCGGGCAGCCCTTCCATTTAAAATTTTCTAACAATCAGTTCAATATTTGTTTTCCRTGTCATATTTATATGCAACAATACCTCTTTTACACTGAACAATACAATTGCACATCTGAGGAGGAGCAGCAGCAGGGAGACACAGTTGGTCTTAATATGGATTCACTTTCTTTCTCTGCTTGTGTCTTAATGACTGCAGTTGTCCTAAAACACGTCTCTCTGTGCTCTGTGAGTTCTGGATTTATCACTGAGTCTCCCTTGACACCCGTGTATTCCTCTCTTGGCACATTCACATCTCTCCCCACCACCACAGTGTGAATCTCCTGGGGCTGCAMACACACTGGTGCCACCCTCCTCCCAGTCTCCCTGATGGGGGCCATATCCTTCCTGAAACTATGGCTCTGGAAAACAGGATTTGGCTACAGCTTCTGGACATGGTAGTGGTGTTTCTGACTTCCAATCAGCCACTGATTTACCCTGCCAGTGCCTGGCAGCTTCTCWGATGGCTGTGCCTCCACACTGCACCAGCAGCACACTCCTGGTGTGGATGTAGCTACATTTATCATCACAATATGGCAGATATTACCCAAAAGTAAGAGAAATATGTGTCTATAGTACATGTTTCTGCTGACACAGCACAGCAGAGAACAAACAGGCCTCTTTCTACCTTAGAACAACATACATATATTAGCAAAAATCTGCACTATGGACTGACTTAGGCTGCAGAAGACACAGAATGGCAAATGTGTAAATTCCYACTAAGAGGTTTAGCCAGGGAGGATGGAAATAGTTCTGTAATAGGTGGGCCAGAAAAAACCCTASAAAGTCTTTATGCACTTTGATTTTTAAGGGCTTTCAAATGACCTCATTCAGACTTAAGACTATCTAATACCAAGTTCAATCCAGATCTTGTGAGTTTCCTACAAAAAATGACAAATCAAACAAAGCAAGCAGTAAATGTAGTGTTTTACCTCCATAGAAAATCACTGTGTTGTGTAGAAGCAGTTGAGCATCTGCTTTGAACTCCTCATAACTCCTGTACTTTCCTTCATTTACTTTCTACACAAAAGAAAACACAAGACTGTGAAAAAACTGTTAAAAGTGCTGTAGCTGTTTTATGCAGAGAAGCTTTCATAGAAATCTGCATTATGCAACACAGATCAGACACTGCCTTTCATGCATACAAAAGGAATACTTACAACTCTTTGACATGATTTGTTAGTACCTGAGCACCAGCTKCAATCCTTTATGCAATCCCAGAAGTAAAATAGATTTTTTAATACTTGACCAAGTTTAAAAAAGATTTTCCTGGTTGAAATAAGGTGAATCTGGAGTAGCTTCAGTGTAAGGTGTGGCTCAGAATACTTGTTCAAACTGAAATATTATCCCTGGGGTGAACATTTTCTACCTTAAAATAYTGGCTAGTTTCAAATCAATGCTGACTGCCTTTAAACTTCCAGGATYTTCAGTTGACAGTCTGTTTTCCAATTGTCCCAGACTTCCAAACTCATAACAAATGCCTRCATGGAGCCATGCAATTAATTTTCCTACTACAGCCTGTTGTTCGATYAGGAACGCAGCGTTTTCAGTTGTGCTCTCTCGAGAACATCCATGACAATTCCAACAATCAAATAMAACAGCATCAGCTTACAGGATACTATCAAGGCCAAAAGACCTTCTATGGCAGCAGGAGAAGATGACAGAGAGAAAGGRAGGCCTGACCTATTTTCAGGCTCAACCAGTGCCACCAGTACTTCTAGACAGGCAGTAGTTCTCGTCTCCAAAACTGTCAGTGCAGCTATTGTTTATTTGTGCATTTTAATAATAAAACAAAGGCTCTTCACATCTGTGGTTGTAAAGGGCAAGCTTTACCACAGCATTGCATAGCAACCCAGTTGCAGGAATGAGTAAAGATGAATGTGCTGTTCATTATGGTCATGTGCAGTTGATTTATATGAGTCATGATCAGACCTTGGTTCAGAAAAAAGGGACAATGTATTTATTAGTACTTTATTTTTGGAACAGTTAATGCAAAACAGATGTTTTGGGTGAGTCTGGTTTTTCATGATCAACAAAATGATTGGTTCTTTATGAATCATGTAGATGTTTATAAAGCTCACACCTACAYATGGGCATAATGACTGAAATCAGAATATGGTCAAAAACATTGGGCCACAGATGCAAACACAGGCACTCGAGTCTATATTCATTGATTTACTTTCTCTAAAGATTTTAGCTACCTGCTGCTCCTAGTAAAACCTAAATACAGAAGGAACTGAGGATATTCTGTGTMTGAAAACTAGGCACCACTCAAAATGTTTTTACTCAGTTACCTATTTATAAAGAAAAGTTTGAAATGTTAAGCTTCCATATCCAATGCTGGACACAATACTGAAATACTCATCAAAAAGAGAATTAAACAGGATTAGGACTTTTCAGTCCTTCCCTGTTAAAAGACACCAAAAGCAGTGTGGAAGTTAGAAAGCATGTCACTCTACCTCCTGTATAGTAGGAACATCAACAGCTGAGTGCACCAGCCTTCGATACATTGGGTGTTTGTTGTCCTTCCCTTTCTTGTTTAGATCTATAGCCTGAAAGGACCATGAGACAGTGTTAATGTATTCAGAATTTGCTTAAAACACATAAAASATTAGAAGATGCAACAATTTGGAATATTTCAAGTGGGAACTACACAAGGCCAAACTGGGGATCCACAATCTGTGAAATTACTCAAACCTGAAAAATGTCCACGTCAGAGGAGCCACAGGCCCACGGCACAACCTGCCCCTGTCAGGGTGATCCCAATCCAAGCCACGGGGCCTGGTCAGTGTATGTGGAAACACACACACTGCCTATGACAGCAGAAATGAAAAACACCCTCTTGTAGCCCTCCTCCCTGCACAGTCACACGTGAGCACCCATAATGATCCTCCACAGAGCAGCACAACCCTGGGTGAACCTCCCTGGCTCCGACTCACCCGCTCTTTCATACGAGACACTATGAATCGCAGGTATGTGCTCATCTCCTGTTTGCTTGTGTTTTTCTTCTTGATACTCTGCCAAAGAAAAAACAAGATCATGTTATTATTTTAAACCTGACTTCAAAATCCATACAATAAACATTTTTTCTGCATTAACACTTAATTTGAAAAGGTAGCTTTGAATTACATGAAACACTATTTCTTAGGGGAAATCTTTTCTGGGAAATTAGTAACACTAACATGCCACAACAACTTTATATGTTGCCTTGAATTATGTCTGGGCTGAGAACTTTGGCTACACAAGTTTTATTTCTACTTGTATCCATAATAGTTTGTCAAAACCTCTCATAAAAAAAGTGTCTAATTAGAATAAAGCAATGAAGAAAGGCATTCTAGGGAGCAGCTTAAAATTTATTTAATGGTCTTTTTATTATCAAGACATGAATAATTTTAGTAAAATAAGAAATAATTTAAAAAATAATATCCTGTACCATCTACAAATTATGTGCTTACTAAGCAAAATGACACCATCTGGGAGAAAGTCAAATTGGGTTTAGCCAGTAGAAACTCAGAGCACTTTTTACTGCTCAAGAAACATAGCAGTTTGGGATTTTTGTGGTTCTTCCCTAACAAAATTTAATCCAGATTCTGGAACACAGATCACTACTTTCTAGCACTTTGGGATCCTGAGTTTTTCCCTCTCAATTTAGTATAATATAGAGCCTTATCCCCACCCTTTAAAGTCCAACCAGGGCTACTGGATGGAGAAACTGTTCTGCTACAGAAGGTGTCTCTCTGCAAATGCCTAATGTGCTCTTCCAAAGCAGCCTTCCCAATTCCAGCTCCCAGCAGCTGGGCGTGTTCTGCATGGCCTTACAACAGCTGGCTGAAAAGTGCCACCTCCTCCCTGCCTTTACCTACAGCAGCTCTCCAAAGCAAGAGCACAGTGAAACAGCAGCATGGGTCCCGGGTCCATTACCCTGAAGTGTTTCTGACTGCTCACATCTCTTTCAAGGCATTTACACCTCCTCACAYCTTCCTGTGCACCGACTGACAAGCTGATTTCTCCCCTGCTCAGCTTCATTTCACCRCTTGTGTGTAAACTGTGTGGACCAAACTGGCTCAGTTACACCTTCATCCTCAAAATCTGGGGGTCTTTAGCGAGATCTACATAATTGTGCAGAAGATGGTTGCTTAGCAAACATAAGAAAAAAATGAATCCATGTTCTAATAGGTAAATAAAAAAGGTATGAGGCTTAAAAATTATTGGTCACTAGAAGTGTGCTTTTTTCACTGAATAACTTATATATGATTCTGGACATAGGGAGCACACCCATTGAGTACAGAGCAACTGCTTTCACAATTTCACTTGGCAAGGGTAAAAAATAACACATTAGAGCAAAAATTTGATAGGATTTGGGTCTCCCCTGTTTGTATTCCTTCTGCAAGAAACTGAGGACACTGAAACAATCACAGGCTGTCCTCCCGTGCTACAGCAAGCTTGCAACCTATACATCTCAGGATTGTACTACCTCTTTCTTAAAACAAAACTGTACACAACACTACCTGCCAAGCTGCTCACTTGATTGCCTAACAGCAATTAAGAGTCATTACAGACTGTTCTGAAATACCAGTTCAGTCACGAACCTACTTTGATACTGCACTGTGCATAACAACACTGTACTTTCTCCTGACTGTGGAAAACTCTCTAATACCTACAGCACCTTTAAGCATTATTTTAAAAATATTAATGGTTGCCTGACCTTCCTTCCAAACTCTGGACTGAGACAGAGTTTTATCCTGCGCTGTATATCTGAATCACCCTCTGTATATTCATGTTTCACTCTGACTGCCATAAGAACGTGCATTCTGCTGGAATTCAAATCACCTATTCGGTTTCTCATAAACCAACATTGCTACTGCAAATGAAAACCCAAATGTGCATTAAATTATCTGCATTATGAAACGCTGCTGTCATTTTGTCATTTCAGGCACTGGAGAGCTGTATGCTTGCTAATGACACAGCATTTTAAAAGACTGAAACTTATAAGGACACAATAAAACTCACAGGCACTGACTAGACCTACACTTCTCTTTCTGACATGGCTCTGAATTTATCATCCTTTGAAAGTATTTCAGAATTCATGTGAACCATTTTTCATGCCCTGCTGGGCAAGACAGTTTGAAAGAGACTGTTGAGATAGATGGTTTACAGTCTTATCTTTCAGATCACAGGAAAAGATAGATAGCTGGCTTTGTATAGTTATTGATGTCAGCAATTAATATCATCTTAAGCACCAATGAAAATTATATAATTAACTTGCCAATTCTGGCAAACTTTAATTTTTTCATTTTTTCTTCAATTCCCTACATTGATTTATTTTAAGAAAAACTTGATCTCTATGTTCCTCTACTAAATTTTGAAAGGTAATAAATTTAGGGAATTGGAGCCTATGAGCCAGAAAAATGTCTTTTTATGGCAAGGCTGCTCAGCCTTTGTAGAAAGTAAGTTGCATTTCAACCATTTCATTTACTTCTCAACAACCATTAGCCATTTAGGAAGYAACATTGACGCATTCTTTGAAAGTTACAATGGAAAATGTGTATTTTTTTAAATTAAAAAAACACCTTCTCTGTATTTTGAAGACTTGTAGTGTTCTCAGAGAAGTCAACCTAGAACCACTTAAGGAAAAAAATAGACAATGCTACATGGGACTATGATTTGCATAAAATCTATTCCTATTCTCTGACAAAAGGTGTATACCCACTTTCAGGTCCCTTTACAGGCAGAGTGATATAGAGGCAAATATAAATGAAAATTAGGTCTTCTAATTTCCTACTTTCAGGAAAGAAAAACAATGATAGTGGCAAGATTCACTATCATTTCCCTGTCAGGTCTACTAAGATATTCTACTGCAAACCTTGTTCCTTTCAAGAACACTGCTGAGATTCATTCCAGCCCCCAAAATATCAGATCCTTATACTTGTAGATAGCCTATTTGTGGGATAAATTATTGTAATACAGGACTGCACTAGGCCTGGCTGGGATGAGGGTAATTGTCTTCACAGCAGCTCACAGGATGTTGTGGTTTAGATTTGTGACCAAAACAGTGTTGGTAACCCATGGATGTTTTAGCTCTWGCTGAACAGTGTTTGCACAGTGCAAAGGCCTTGGCAGGTTCTCACTCTGCCCCCACAGTGAACAGATTTGGGAGAACACAAGAGGCTGGGAGAAGACACAAGGCAGAAAACATGAGCCAACCAAAGAGATAYCCCATGCCATTTAACATCATGCTCAGCAACAGAAAGGAAGAGGAGGGGGCCTAGGGGGAATTGAGCCATCTTTAGCTCAGTCTGGGCATTGATCTGCCCATGGAGGGTGGGAGTGATTGCCTTTGCAATTTTGCTCTGTTTCCTTTCTCTCTCTCAGGTGGCAGTTGAGGAGACACAATAGAGCAGCCGTGTGGTGCTTTSCTTTGGGGTTAACCTGCAACATGGGCAATTCCTGTCACACCACTGCTTTAGAGAAACCTGCAAACCTTCTGCTTTGAATCAAGGTAAACTGAAAGGCTCGCTCAGGCCTAGTGTTTACACAGGGGATGCAGGAGTGAAGTAATAACCTTCACAATAGCAATGCTCATGTAGAAGATTAATGAGATCTGTAGGTGAAAGGCCAAGCCTGCAGCCTAAGTCTTTTCTTGTGGGTGCAGGAAATACCTTATATTTGCCTTATTCTCTGCAGCACATCTGTTTCTTAGAAGCTGGTACCTGAAGGTTACATTGCTCTTTATATTCAATAACCCAGATTAATAATRCTGCCTAGCTGTTAAAGAGGGCAGCAATATATTGCACTGTGCAGGTGTGACTTATTAAGCAATTYTGACATGCTTAAAGCGCAGGAATTCACTGCAAGACTTCACAAACCATGAGGCCAGAGCAGCCAGGGGCACTTCCAAGAAACACTCCATCCTGCAGTAGCACCACARATGATGGAAGTGACAAACCTCAGCACTCTGAGTTAGCATGGAGCTCTCAGCTCCAAGGGAGGCAGTGGCCACTGTTATGCAGTTCCTGCAATCTTTCATTTGAAGAGAAAAAAMCAGGAAAACTCTAAAAAATGCAAGGTGCCAGTGCCAGCATTCTGTCTAGCTATAASCATTTAAGTTACATTTGCTCCATGTAAAGAGGCTTCCATTTGCCTATAATCTCCCATTAATGGATATTTTTCCTTTCCTCTTTCACCTGTCCTGTGCATACACACATCAAAGAGCTGCATTTTAGTTCAGCGATGGATGRTGTGAAGGCTGCTCAATGACAGATATATGTTTCTAAGGCATCAGTTGCATTTTCAGAACCAATTTGGGTTTCCAGGGGTGGATTTGCAGAGGGGAGTTATGAGCTTAATCTAACATACACTCACCACTGCTCTTCAGAAACTTCTTGCTTCACACACTGGCCCTTGGACTTTTTTAAGGTTTAAATTGCCAGAGGAATTTGGTGCTACATATGGAAAGCTTTACTGCTCTGCCACCCTCTCAGACTTCCAACCCTCAGGTCCTCAGGTTTCCTGTACCATTAGGAAAGGTATGCAGGCACATGGAATGRGTCTCAGAGCAATCAATACACTGTGTGACCTAAGTATCACACAGAAAAGCCTCTGCATTAGCAAAATATGCCCTAAGACTTGCCTCTTTCACTATCACAGCCAGTAAAACTAAGCTTTTCAAAGCATCAGGTGCTTTTGGAAATGTTACAGCTGAATCTGCAAATTGATTTCTACTTGTATGGTRCATTAAGCACTTTCTGTATATGAAGCATCATATGAATTAAATATGCTTTTATGTGCACAAAGAAGGTGGCAGGAGGCTCTGAGTGGAGGTTTCCCAGTTTTCTCACTGCTGTGGACAAATTCCTCTATGCTTTATTCAGTAAGTCCTTTGCAGAGCCCAGCTCTGTCAGCTCCCTGATTTACTCCTGGGTGCACAGGGAGGATGTGCTGAGGACAAACACCTCCTCAGGTGTGAGCTCTGTGCACTGAACCATGYGCTGCTGAAACTGCTCCTACACTGGGACTTCCCTTTACCCATCAATCCATGACTGTTATTTGTGTGATCACACCAAATCCTGCCTCAAGAATATGCTTCCCCATACAGGTCTCTAACAAACTCCTATAACTCCATGAAATGAGTCAACAAAGCCATATTCCTTCCTCCTTCCTTGTATTTTGCATTAACCACCTTCACTGACAGCTAGTACCTAAACCCCCCTGACCTAAGCACTTGAGTAACTTCACTTAAGTAACCTCCATCTTTTGTGCTTCTAACTTTTTCCTGCTTGTCATCCTCACTTGTCAAAGTTTGTCTGAAATTGGTTGTGAACTGCATAACGGTTGTTTATTTTTATGTACTCTAGGAGATGCTCAGTACAGTACCAGAACTCAGTAACAGCCTATTTATAGAATGCTTATCAGCACAGTATTTAATATTCTAAGCTCTACAGACTACTTTAGTCTCCTGTGTGTAACCCCCAGGAATATTGAAACACCCTTTATAATAGCAGGTAAATTGGCTCTAAGTCCTTGCAAAGAACATGCATGGAAGACCAACCTCTGATCACACGAATGTAAAAAAAATTTAGGAGTCAAGGGAAATCACATGAATAATTCTTTCCTTCTGTTTCATGAATCAAAATCCATTCCTCTGCGACAAATGATATATCAAAATGCTAAATTTTGCCTTCTTGCAGTTTTTTTTAAATTTGGATTTTTAGACAAGAAATAATAATAGACACTTCACCAACRTGTAATCAATATTCTCCCATTCATAATTCTGTATATATCTATCCCCCCCGCCCCAAAAAATAGTTAGTCTATTGGTTTTACTTTTTGTAGTCTTTAGGTGCTAAATTACCAGCTGAAGAAAATTAATTCCCTCCTTTTATYTAACTGAAGAGAAGCAATAAAGGTACAAGCCTCCTACATCCTTCAAAGACCGAGTTGACTAACCCTGTCTTGAATGGACTATTCCAGTAGTGAAAAATGTAATCTCTAAGCTCATTCAATATTAAGTTTTTCTCTTGTGACCTGTCTACCAGGAATTTTGCTGATAAAGCCAATTTATTTCACTTAAGACAATGATTAGTCAACAGTCAGGGAAAAATTTCAATCAGTGCAATGTGGTTTGAATTGAACTTTGTTTGACTTTTGGCTCCTGCTGAGAGTTCTATAGAGTACAAAAATATTCAGAGTGGTACCATCAAGTTAAAAAAAAGAAACAAACCAGGAACTGGACATTGTTGTTTATGGATGCAGTGGAGAAAAACCACGAGTGAGCAAACAGAGCTCAGAACAAGGTTTGAAAGGGACTGTTACAAACRATATCCTTAGCAATGGCCTTTATAAAATACTTCTGAGTAGTCAAGTGTGCAAGATAAAGCTGCACAGGTTGATCAAACTAATACAACCAGCAATTGTGAAATGAAAAATCCAAAGGCTTGCTGAYCTTGGCAGCATTACAGAAGCAATCTTTACATAAGAATGAAGTGTTCTTAGATTATTCCTCCCAATATATTATGTTTTAAACATACTTTCACTTCACTTTTGTAAAGAGCTTTAACATTTTCAAGTGAAAAGTGCTATGTCCAGTTATGAGAATTAAATATGAAAATATATGTATCTCTTTGTCCCAGCTATCACTTCTCTTGAAGGTACATATTTACTGCTGATAATGCAGCGTAAATCCCCCACTGCCCTCATCCAAGATGGTTAAGCTCTGTTRCGCCCTCTGGACATCAGCCAGGGCTCTCTCCACAATATTAGTTTTTTTGAATATAGGCCACTTTCTTGCTTTTAAAATGAAATTAGAGCATTCATTTACTAGGAGGGTGGGGGGAAAGGAGCAGAATACAGAAGGATGAATACTGACACAAGGAAGCTGACTCCCACACTTACAGGGACTGTGCAAGCCTCCTTAGTCCAAGTCTGCAGAATTAGGGCTTGAAGGGATTTGAATTAACTACAAGAAAAACAGGAGCTGCTGGCACAGGGGGAGAAAGGATGCCATGGCATCCACAATGGTAATATTCACAAAAATAGGTTGATCATCACCCAAGCAAGCCAAAGGCCTTTGGGGCAGGAAGCATTTAAGAGCCCCCCAAACCTCTTCTTAGTATTTGGGTAACAAACAAGGAATCAATATGCAGAAMGATAGGCAGAGAGCACATGGCTCAAGTTTCACAGGATTTTTTTCTTTTAAGTAAACATTTATTTAATATCATTGCCATAAAGGACTTCAAGGCTTCAGGATGAAAGTCAAACTGTTCTCGAAGCTGACGTATTGGTGCATATTTCAGCAATGATTCAGCATTTCCACTCTGACGACATCCATGTTACAAGAGAGATGTTATAAAACCACCTCATACACAAGGTGGCATAAACCATCCACAYTCTCTACTCTCACCAGGTGTCATCTAAAATTATCGGCAAGCTAGAATGGAGACTGGATCCAGTTTACCTAATTTTAAAAGTATTTATAAAAATCATCAATAATTATAATACCCAACAATCGTTAAAGAGATTTATTTAAAAATCTGAAAGCAATTCCTCTATATATGGTCATACTTTGCTTTTAACAGAGGGAATATTGAGTTGCTAAATTAAATGCTAGCAATTCAATATGGAGAGATACAGCATATGTCCTTATTCTTAACTGCTTTTTTCCTTTCCACTGTTTCTTTTTTATTATTTTCAACTTCTCKGAGTCAGGCTTGATTTTCTGCTATTTCCCTAAACCCTGAGARCTCCCAGTCTGAGGCAACAGGTTTTTAAAAACTCGTTCTAAGGTAAAAGCAGTCAAAAAGCGTTGTTTTGAAAGAAAAAAATCCACATGTTTTCAACAACTGCTTCTCCACCCCACAAAGTGCYCTGAAACCTTACATTCCTTGCTGCACAGATCATCTTAAGGTCAGTCTGCTGCTCTACAGCTAGATCTAAGCTTTCAGCAAAGGAATTGCCTCTCCCTCCAGCAATCCTAGACAGAGTGGAACTGGCAGTTTAATGCCTTTCTGTAGCAACAATTTTATCTTGAACATTCATAAGCATTATTCCTTCCACAGCAAGGGAGCCTAGCTCTGCAGGAAGCCTAGTGAAGTGCTCCACTGGGGGAGGTGACACAAAGATGACAACAGTAAGAGGTGTCTGCCTGATTCAAGGCTAGCTACCAGTAAGCACCACCCTGACTAGAATGTTTAGTCTTCTCAAGACATGAAGACAACATATCTGCCTGTTCTTGGAAAATATATAAAAAATACTTTTTGCTATCTCCCTACCATACTCATAAGAACAGCATCTGTAAAGAGAAAGCAACATAGATATGGATGCTTCCAGRTTGCCCTTTTTGCACTGATAGAATCCACATTAGTAAATGAGAAGCAGGATTTCACTCTTGATTTTTGATACTACCCTCATCAGTAAYATGATTGTGGCTTTATAACGTAAAATATCATTCCAATAAAAGAATTAAGAATGCAAGTCATCAAAATAAAAAAAAAAAAGGTGACATTATGGTTCATTAAAATGRCGTTAAGTAAAAGCAGTAGCATCTTATACAGCAAATTATTTACTCATGTAGAAGGTTCTCACACTTTACTGCACTCAGTGCACACTCTCTGGCACAGGGTACTGTGCCAGTAAAACTTGCTGGAGTCTTCAAAAATATCCATCTGCTACATGCACCACATTTTGGTACCTCTGTATAGATGCTCTAGGTATGTACCATGGTTTCAATTTYCAGTTCTTTACCCATTAACCTGGCCAGACCATCTGGACACCTTAATGAATCTATTAATGAATATCAATCCTCTAATCAGCACATGAAATCTCATAGGTACTCACCCTGCAAACTGGGCACTGCCAGTGACTACTGCTGTCTCTAAGCCTGAACTCATCAGACAAACACTTGGAATGATACACACGAAAACACAGGTCACATATCAACACCTCTCCAGGCAAATGGCATTCAAAACAATACCAGTCATGATTTTCTGTTTCCCAGTCCTACAAAAAATACAAAATATTTTGGTATGACATTCTGTCAAAATCTGCAGGAACTAAGAACAAAATTGATATGTCTTGAAATCCAGCAGCAATTAGACATTATAAACATTTTAAGAAATTTAATGTTTAAAAAACAGGGGAAAACCTATGTGCTTAAAGATCTTCATCAATTTAATACACACTAACTCMAATAGAATATGAATGCCAAGTTTTAGTTTTTTTCAAGTGTCTGATTAGTTACAATTTCAAGTATGAGCTCTGTCCACAATGAAAAGTGGGTTTGTTTTCTTACTTTGTGTAAAACATTTGTTGACCTCTCTGTATTAGACTGCAAACAAAAGTTTGTGCACCTCAACAGACCATGCCTATTTTCTTGGACTATTTCACTTAGTTTGTTACAGTGTATTTTCAACTGTAATYTTCTGAAGGGTGGTCCCTTCCAGTCTTTACTCTCTAAAAACTGACAACTCTTCAGCATCAAAGTGTTGAGTTACAAGAAATAAATGAAATCATGAACCAATTACTGCRAGAAATGTTTCTGCTAAGCAATCCCATTGCAATTCAAAAAATAGAAAATGTTTCACTTGCCGTGCTCAACAGCACTGGGCTCTTTTCTGAAACATTCTAGAGAAGACAAAGGATATGGTTCTGCTGATGCACAGATGTCTTTAATATACTCTTCCTTGAAAATTCACCCCCAACGGCCAAATTCTGACCTTTGAAACATGTGCACRAGCTTTGCTGAAATAAATGAGAGCAGCATGCATATAATTTGGAGGCAGAATTTTGCTCTAGGAATCTGTAGTTCTAAAACCAAGCAGAATTGCCAGTGGCCACTGTTAAATGTTTATGTTTGTTATCTGAAATGCCACACTTTTCTCTACATTTACAAGACAAAATAGCTGTCATATYTCAGATAAAACTCCCAATGCCTTTTCTTGTCAAATGTCACTTTTCAATGGGTTCAGATCTCTGAAAAAAAAAATTACTTCTATTCTTCAATAAGCTATCTTGGTAAAAATCTGATCAAGCTATTTTAATGCCATGTTGTAAAGGTGGAGCTAGCAAGTCCCACCGACTGCCAGAACYGGCATTTGTCTGATTTTCATTATTTTGTGCCTGGGAACTAGAGTCACTTGAGTCCTGGTGTGAAAGGTCTCCTCCAGAGGAGCAGCATAAGAAGTGCCACGCACAAGTGGCATTTCCAGTCCCTTGTGCTGAAGAGCAGCCGTGTTGGGTACATAATTCATCTGACCAGAGCCCCCATGAACACAGGAGATTGTGGGACAGTCTCAACCCAGACTGCCTGCACTAAAGTTTATGTACCATGAATGTTGGACTGCAGGGGCAGCAAGTTTAGAGGGGGAAAAACCACCCTAAGAAACCTTAACCAGTGATTTTTGAACTCAGAACTTTGTCCTCCTTTGTTCTGCAGTTTAACAGTACAACTTGACCGTTCATCATTTCTTCTGATTTCACTTTATTGGCAAATTCTGTATATCTGGAAATGTCATAACACCACCAAATCTGGCTATAAAGAACACATTCTTGTTTCACCAAATCTTTCTCCTTCCAAAGTCCAGTGGCTGTTGACTTTGAGAGCCCTTTCTTGAGGATATTTTGGAAACAGCTAAAGATACTGCATTGTTGGTGCAGGATAAAGTAAATCAGGATAAGGTAATGCTTTGTATTTTTTTTTTAATTAATTGTATGTATGAAGTGAAAAAAAAATCAACTGGCAGGAAAGGGCCAATTAAGCAAGAAAAAAAATCAGTTTTGGTTGAAGATATATTTAGATAAAAATTAAACTGAGAAGACCCCAAGAGGTCCTGTGGTTTCACTACAGAATCGGGCTTCCAGTATTCTTAATTTTTATTTGTATTAGTTACATATTCATATCTCCCAGATATTCCATTGTTAAGAAATATGCTGGCAAAGAGMTGGGGAATTTCATAAACATACGGAAATATATTTGCTGGCAAGAAAAATCATACACTGAAGCCAGAAACCATGACGTTAAATAAAACACCAGAAGAGGCTTCCTTCAGTATTCTTATTGTAAAGGTTTGAAAACATAATTATTTCTAAAGACAAGGTTTTTCAATGATAAAATTTTTAGTTTAATGCAGTATATTTAGCGCATAAGTATAGATAAAACATTCATTTGTGCAATATATTTGAAAAAATAATTAAAAACAATAAAACAAGGTACATAACCCTTGTGGACAACTGCCCTGTAGACTTCAATAGCGAGGTCAGAGGCATTAATTTTCCTCCAACAGCAATGAAATGTTGGTTATTGCTTCTCTCGGTTTACCTAAGTGTGAATGGGAGGGGAACGTGCTCCCAGCATTTAATTTATTTTTTTTTTTCATGCAGGAAATCGGATTAGTTTAAGCGTGCCCAGCGCTGGGGGTCGGGCAGGTCGGGCGGCTCCGGCAGCCGCAGTTCCCGCAGGCACCGCCAGGTGTCGCCGGGCGCTCCCGAAAGCGGCGGCCCAAGGGGACAGCGCCCGCAGGGAGCGGCGACATCCGAGCGGCCACTGCCGGACACCGGGATGCGGAACCAGCTCGGGACATATCGGGAGTGGTATGGATGATGGTGGTGGCTAAGAGAGTCAACTAAGCTATCCTAATGGAAGACAGAAACGTAATAGAAAATATGACAGAATTCAAAACCACATAGTGCAAAAATTGTTCACCTTGTTTTTTGCTGCTGTCTGGGAAAAAGGCTGCATACCGTAGGCCTTTCAAAATAAAAACAAAACAAACTTTGTATCTATACTGTAAGCCATCTGRTTATCAGGATATACACAAGGCTAGAAAGAATTCATGCACAGTGACCGGAAAATCAATCTGTTAGTTCTAACTTCTGGTTGCATACATTTCCTCCTGCATTCCTGGAATGCTACCTAACGTTTTCATCACATTTCACTTCTTTAAAATATCCCATGTACTTATATGATTAAAAGAACCCAACACCCATCATTTTTATCCATATACACACCCACCRCCAGGCCAATTAAAAACTCCTCAAGAATATTAATGATTGTTAAWTAATGCACTCTCTTTGATACATAAACCTTCTCTGGGCATCTAAAAAAGATCCTTCTAAGGTAATTTACTGCCKAGGGAATGGCCCCACCAAAATCAACCCAACACCTTTGCTGCATACTATCAAGGGTTAGGCTGTCACTTTACCAATGAGACTCACAGTTGTAATTTGTGTATAAAAGGTGACACATTTTCCCAGGGCCAGGCAGACCAAAGGAAGGATCTCCGCCACAGGGACCCCGTTCCTGAGGCAGGGCAGGGAAAGCCTCCGGGTCACTGTGCTGGCACACAAAGGGAATCCTCTCGAAGGGAATCCTCCGGCCGCTGCCCAAGGTCAGCGGTTCAGCAGCACCAGTGACTGACCACAGCCCCCGACAGGGAGAGGATTTGGCAGCAAAGCCGCGTAACTCACACCCAACAGGAGGCTTTCCCCTCTCGTTCTGCCCAGCTGCCCGCTGCATTTRTAGCTCTATGCWTCAGCAGGGCAGCAAATGCRCTTGGGGGACTGTGTGAAATAGCCAAGAGCTATGCTCTGTTARGCAGAGTGGGATCCTGCAATCATAYGGGTCACATGTGGTCACTCGTTCTTTATATTCAAATCYGTCAAACATTATATCATAAAGGTCACTTTGCACTGACATAAATAGCTGAGATTTCTCAGCAACATGAGTGAAGCACTGCAAAAATTTCAAAAATACATTTAATTTATGACTGGCACGTAAGCTTACTTTTCTTTGTCATTTGTCTTAAGTAGGCTGTCTTAAAGCAAATACATACATTTATTCTGGAAGTATAGAAAAGTAACATGGGACAGAAAATGTCAGGCTATCCAGAACATTTGACAGTTTAAATACAGATAAACCCAACAGAAAGGAATGAATCATCATGYCGTAGCCTTTACTGTAAAATAAAATACATAGTTGTTGTCAAGGAAAGAATAATTTTAGTGCACAAAGAAAATGTCCATTATAATGCAAATGTACATGGAAAAGAAATGCTTACTCATTAGTAATGGAGATTTACTTAGCTGTAATTGAAATAGGGAATCTGTATGTTGGAGAATGTGACATCCTGCTGTACAATTAGCATACCATTAAGTAGGAGATGTGAAGCACATACTGACAGTAAAATTAACAATAACTTAGAGGTCACAATGGTAACTATTAGGTCACTTCCATAGCACAGCAAGCCCATAATTATTGTAAAAAAAAAGAAAAGATGTTAAAACAAGTAATAAATTTTCATTTTCATATAAATTATATGTAGCCATAGCACACGAAAACAGTATAACCTCCTTTCTTAGACTTTGTCTAAAAGGACCACTTTTCCTTTTTATAATGCACATTCCATTAACATAGCTCATTTCTTACCTGTTAATCTGTTTTCTCCAAGTCCCTTAATGGTAGCCCAGATACTCGGTATTAAGTCACTCTACTATCAGGTGGAGAGAGGAAAAGGGAGGGGGAAAAAAGCAAAACTCTATTCATGAAACTCCCCTTTATGGGGATTTGCTCGTTTCACACTGTTGAACTAGATTTCCCAAACAAGCAAAATTATGGATCTCCTTTGGACCCAACCAGTAAGCTACAAAAAAAAAAGGGTCACAGATGGGATAAACAGTTATAAGCCAGTTACCTCTTTGGTGCAATCTTGTTTATTTACAATTAACATACATACAGTCCTGTTGTCCTAAATTCAATTTGATGCAAATGAAGAAAACAACTTCTCATGGASTTCATGGTTCCCAGCATTTCCTGTGTGGCACTTGTCCCATAGCAYTCTTTACACTTTCTTTTCCCCCAGATGTTCTGTTTTAATTATTTCTCCAGAGTTTTACGTGTGTGCTGCCGTGGTGTTCCTCTCACCCCTACACTCAGGCACACACAGCTCCTGCCAGATCACCGGATTTTCATTCAGACCCACCTGAGCACAAACTCATTGTCAGCCCTSCTTCGTGTCTGTGTTTTAACAGTCCCTAGAGCTCCAGCTCCAGTGGATAACAAACTCAGAGCAGTTCTGCACTAGTCCAAAGGATCAGTATGAGCAGATACACAGTAGATTTCACCCACTGCSTATCGTAACACTTTTGGTCTGTCACAGTGGTGGAATGGCAGAGAGGTCCATGCCAGCAGAAAGAAGACATTTACAAMATTTAAATTATTTTAAAACAGTAGTATTTGCATGCTAAATTTATTCAAGACATTTTCAAATCACCAGCCCAAAACTTCAGTGTAATCTTTCCATGACTATTTCAAAACATTTTAAAGAATATCAGTAAATGAGTTCCTACTATTTCTCAGATTCCCATTTCTTTAACATGTAATGAGATAGGCCATGCCCAATTTAAAGATATAATTTCTGAAGCAAATGTTCTGGATTCTTGTATTTTAGGATTTGGGAACAGCCATAAGGAACCTTCTGTCTCTTCTCACCTCTACCAGCTTTAACATCAGAGCTCTTTACATTTTCACCCCTTCAACTAAGAGAGAAGCTTTTAAAATCTTGGGTTCTGTTGTTAAGATTTCTTTGCTGGCCTTCAGTAACTCCTCACTGGAAYTCAACAAAGTTGACTACCAGTCCATATCAAGTACAAGGATATACTGAAATAAATGCCTCTCACAAGAATTATGCTTTTTTTCCCCCACGTCTTTGATTTTGCTCAGGTTCTGCAACATGCATCCATCATCATCTGCTGCTGGGAAGTAACTCSTATCTTCTCTACTTAATCCTTCATATTTCAAACTTTCTGCTGTAAATTAAAAGCTTTTATTATAATAAAAAGTGGTGGTACTGCATTCCAGCATGCATGCATCTACCATTTCATTACTCTTCTCTGGTATCTGGGTCCTCTCCTGAAGAGGATTCAGAGAATGCTGCAGGAACCTATGCCCCCACTCACATTAAACAAAGCAGCATCTATTTCTGTCTGAACACATTTTCCATTCTTAATAAATCAGTTCCTTTCTGTCTTTTTCAGGCAGCATCTGCTCCATCAAAGCTTTCTCAATTAGACATGAGCTTTACTAAAGGTAATTGCTAAAACCTTGCAGTACATTTTGCACTCTTTATGACTCACGAATACCAGGAAGCAYGGTGGGGGTGCACTACCTATGAGACTTCTGTCCTCCAGTACAAAACCTGAAGAAATGTTTCTGACTTGTACATTTGCTGCAAACAGCTACTGCCCACTTCATTTGTCCATTTTGTACTTGTCTCCAGGTGTAAATACTGGAATCTGTGCCCCGCACAAAGGCAGCCTGAAGCAGCTCGGACAGGAGCMGTTGTTAACAGCCCTTATGAGCTGGGAAACGCTAAACCAGCATTCAGCTCAGCTTTGAAATGCCTCCCTTTGCCTATCTAGCCACTGCTTTTGCAATTCTGTTCAACTTCTGAGTAACTGCTCCGTAGTTAAGAGGGGTTTTACAAAGAGTGGCTGATTATCTGTAGAGCTGCACAGATTGGAGCCTTGCTCTTTTTTTTTTTTTTTCTGAGAGTGCATGTTGTACGTGCAGCCTGGGCTCTCTTTTGCCCAGGCTGTGTCTCGGTGGGTTCAGCAGCCAGTGAGAACTCTCCAGCTTATCAGGGGTCTCTGGCAGATGTACAGAGATGTTCACTCTGACACCAGCAGGCCCCAAATACTACGTGTGCTGAACAAACATCGTGTGTCACAGAACACCATTCCCAGTATTTTTTCAAATGCAGGGGGGATACTGTGTAGGTTTTTGACCAGAGGGCTCAGCCTGCTTTAAGGACAGTCTTCCCATTGCCCTTTGGGTCAGCCTTCTCTTCATGCCATGTCCCTGGCTCCATCTATTCCTTAGCAAACGTGAAACCTCCTGTAAACTTGCTTTCCATTGCCTACTGAATCTGCTTTTATCTTTGCATCAGAACAATGATGAAAAGGTTAGGCTTCAAACTGAGGAAGGTGTGATTAATTCCTTGATGGCTCAGAAGACTTACTCCATCTTTGCAGCAGGTAAATGGTGATTTAGCTGTTTCATAAAGTATTTCCTTTCATCATTGCTGTAAAGGATCCATATTTGATCAGGACGATTGCTTTTCAATGATAAAAGTTTCTTAGATCATCACATGTTTTACATTTAATGCTAGAGCAATGCTTTAGGGTAAATTCAGCATCAAAATAAGCTTATTTTCTCCCCTGCAGTTTTCCTGTATCCATGTGTTTACTAGATATATTTCTTCATGTTTTGCATCTACATTTTTCCTACTGCTTTTGCTCATCAAAAGTGCTCAGCAAATAAACAAGCATCCACCTCTTTTTCAAAGTCAGGAAGACTTCAGCAGCTAAAATCCCTTTGTGAAAATTGTTTCACTTTATCTTCTTCTTCTTCTAGAAAACTACCACAGTAGGTAGCTAAAATGTGTGCTTTTACGGGCAGGATAATCTATCCATTCAGATCAGTTGCCTTTATAGATTCTTTCCTTCGTTGACCTGGGCTTTATCTTTAAAATGTATTTCCATAAACTGACTCTGTAGGACACTTTGTARGTATTCATTATTCATATTTTGTCACAAAGAAATCCAAAGTAATTATGAATTCATATGTTCTCACAACTACTCAGGCATCTTGCTTTATTTCAAGTATATTTATTTATTTATTTATTTGTTAATTATGAACCAAGTTTCATCATCTCAGCAATTAATTAGAATTTCTTGTTTTATGTGATTTTTAAATCTCTTGGTTCAGAAACCCTTTATATTCTAAAAAGAACCAACACAAAACCATCAGTCAGGGGACAGACCAAAATCTCCTTCTCCTTAGTGCATATTAAACCAGATGTGTTTGTGTAGTTGTCAAAATCCATTTCCATTGTCTTCACTGGTGACTGCTTTCTCTTCTGATGCACCGGTGCAGGAAGATTCAGGTTCTGCAGAGAATTCCACATTCTCTCAGAACACTTTTGGCTTTCTTTCACTGAACTGAATCTGCAAGCCTAAATTTGTCTAATTAATTTATTGCCAGTTTGTCTTAGGAGTCTTCAGTTTCTGACAGAAACCACCCAAGTCTTCWCTGGATTCCTGCCAAGACAGGTAGGTTTTTATTCTCCTTCCTATCTTGCAGCTATAATCTGTACAATTCAGGGTGATAGGCCCCAAAGTACAGAGGCAAGCTCTAGCTGCCAATGCTAAAGTGAGTTTTTTTCAAGAAGTGTAGTAACATGTCAGCAGCCAAACTGACTGCTTAACCCCTGTCACGCTTATCTGCTCAGCCTATGAGCTGTGCTCTTGAAATAATGAATAAATATCAATTTCCATCCCAAGAATATGGGATGCAGCAGTGTRCATTATTTAGGGTGAAACAATATGAGTATTCCCCTCCAGGATATTAGAAATATAAAATAATTTCAAGTGAAAATGTTATTTTCTTTTTTCACATTCTAAGTGAATTCAAGGTTAATAGAAACTTTCAACCTATCACCTCAGAAACTGGATTCACTCTGCTATTAATGTCACAATTTTTGACTTAGGTTGAGCCAAGAGGAGGTTTGTAGGCTATTTTCATTAGGGAGATAAATCAGTGATAAAGTGAAGTATCTATTAGGTGCAATGCCTTTTATTTCCACATTATGGTTTTGTTCACCTAGAAAGAAGGTAAATCCAGACCAGGAATAAACCACCTCCTCACTTGTAGTTCCAAGTCTCCTTTCGAGAACTGTGCACAAAAGTGGTCTTCCTTCCTTTTCTTGCTTAAAATATATTTACATTGCTTCTCTTGTCTTATTTTGTAGTGTTTCTTTAGACTGATGATTCAGCACACACAAACATTTTATCTGAACCAACAGCAAAACCTCCTACAGTTTCCTTAAATCCCTTGTCCATGCATCCTGTGCTGTAGGTGTGGCTGGTATTGTTTCAGCTGTCAGTGCTAGAAAAGCAGGAGGACTGCATTTATTTGAATGAAGCATGAATATTAATAAGCCCATCAGCTTCAATGAAGTTTCATTCAATGACCAGCATGACATAATAATAAAAGATTCAAATCAGTTGCCAGAGATACACAGCATTTTGAACCCACAACGTTAATAGAAACACTACTAGGTCAGGGTGGGCACAAAAGAGGTGGAAGAAAACCAAGATGCATGTTTGCAGAACAAACTCAAGATAGACTGATCTATGTATTTATTCTACTAGCATAATTTGAGTCCCRTGATAGACCCCCTATACAGACTAGTTTGACTAGTTTACTTCAAGCCCATAGGTATATTCTCATTCTTCAAAACACCCTTTCAATCAGGAAAGAACATTTTGTGAAATCTCTGAACACCATTATCAGTAGCTCAACTCCAGAACTGTGAGCGAAAGCCTCATACAAGAATACAGCATTACATCAACTGAATTTTTAAAAGTCAAGTTGGCAAAGCTGAGAGAGTCAAGYGAAGATGCTGACAAGGTTGTTTTACCAGTTTAAGAGAAGCAGCATCTCTCTRCAGTCAGATGGAGTCTACTAGTGTCACCTTCAGTAATGTGAAGATCCTGCAAACAGTGTGAACTCCCCTTCCAGAGAACAAAAAGGATGAGCAGAGGAGAGAAAGAAATACTCCTGAACAGATGGGAAGAGAAAAACAAGTTTGGAAAAGGAATGCAGAGAATTGCTCACTATTCTTAACCCATCTGGAGGCAGGAAGAACCACTGGAATGGATCTGAGGCCTTTCTCATGAGCTGCACATTAACAGCCTCAATGCAAACACATAAAAWTTCTGCTTTAATGCAGAAAGAATTTCTCATCCATGAGTTGGGAATTCAGAATTCTAATTTTCTTCTCTAGTCTAGGCTTTGATTTGATGATTTGAAAATATTTGCTTTTCTGAAGTTTCACAAATCCACTAATATTTGGTTCATTAATAAGCAGAATCACAATTGCACTTTGTGATAATAATATGCAAGAAAAATCATGGCATTTAGTGTAGTGATTTTGATTTCATGGCATTCCTTTGGAAAATTAAGCTCTGAATGACGAAACCTTAAAGGATAGAAAGACAGACAGAAAAGAAAGATTCCTAGAGTTTCAGAATTTCATCTTCCTTGAGTGTTCTTGTATGACCAAGCTGTTATCTGGYCTGACCTCAAAGCCTCCTCATATTCTCCCTGGGGTGTGGAATAAGGGATGGGAGCCAGTYTGAACTTTTTCTCTCATGGAATCAATCATTAACTCTTTGCATCAGTGAATCACCAACTGTAAAGAACACTGGTACTTTCACAATAATTAGGAATCTATCTGGAACATTCCAGCCTGGAAAKGTCTCAATTTGTTCAGTATGGGAAAAATATTAACTAATATGGCTTGGTCTGTGTTTAGCTTTAGATCAGTGAATTCACACAGGACTTCAGATTAAAGGCAATACGGATGGATAAGGCAAATGGAGAATTTTTTAAACACTGAATAAGATTTTTCTTCATTTAGTGTGACATGTTCTTCCTCTTTGTGCTCTCCAGTTGTAAGAGCTTTCATGATGAAGGCAGTGGCTGTCACTATTGCTGTTTCATATTATCCTTCTGCTCCTAACTGAAATGAATGGGATGCACATTAAAACCATTCCTCAGCCTAGTTATTTAGAATCCCCTAACTTGCTAGAAGGAACTGGTAGCTATTCAGGCTGGTTTTGGATTGAAGTTTGATTTTGTCTGCTGGTTTGCTGTTTGGGTTTTTTTTAAACTATTTAAAATGCATTTTATTTACAGAAAAGATTCAAACCCTCACTGTGGCAGTTCTTAAGCTTTTTACAATTATCTTTATATTAATGGAGACTCAAGATGACACAGCCAGTTCAAAAAACAGCTTCTGGCTACCAATACTGACCTAGCATGGAAAAATCAATATAATTACAAAAGCAATTAAGCATGGCAAGCAAGGAATCAAGCCTTTGCTCAATCTAAAGTAATTTAGATTAACACAAACATAACAGCCAAAAAAACTGYTTTTTGATAGACTGATCCTAGTAAAACTGAACGTGCAACACATCAAGTGTTGACAGTGGGGTACAACAAATGTTAAAATGATGGGAATACAGAGTGAAGAGATGGATTATTCAGGCAGCCTTGTGACTTGAAAGTATCTGGAGTCACTTTGAGCAAGCACCAGTACTTTTTAATATAAAATGCAAGGAAAAAAACCAGTAATGAATTAGCACATTAAGAATGTATGTGTGGGAAAAAAAGCACATTCTGTTTCTAATGTTTTCTGAAAACAGGAAAAAGCAAGGAGACTTCTACTCCAAACAGTGTGCTTTCCACTAAGCTAACACATYTCTAGAGTGAAGAGTTGAAATGGCAATAATTTAGATACAGAGAGGACCAAATGCACAAGAAAATGACTGTARCTGACCCCCAAGTTAGGCTTAACTAGGCAGAAGAATTGCTGGCTCTTTCTATAAGCAATCAATTAAATGAYCAGAAAACAGAACTCTGTAAACAAATAATTTCTTGAAAATATAATCACCTTGTATGCATTTTTTAGTGAAGAAATAGCTCACAGTGCCTTAACTAAGTGTGAAGCCTCACTGTTCACATCTCATTAGAGAATTCAGCCACTATGAACCACCTTTAAACCACAGAAGTGCTGTGGGATATGTTGCAATCAGATGCAAACAATGTGTTATGAACACATCTCCCTTTTATAAGAGCAAAATATTATTTGGCTTTATGAACACAGGAAAATTTAAATTATACATTCATAAAGCTTGTCTCTGGGTCAGAGCAGTTTTATGACTTTAATCATGAGGAGAAGAATTAGCACATTAAGTGTTCAAAATAGGTCAGTSCCCACTGTCTGTAGAAAAATGTAAATGAGTAAGACAAACCAAGTCTAAAAACTGTATCTAACCCCCCGCCCCCCCCCAAAAAAAAACCTACAGGACATTGGTAGTTAAATTCAATTTCTTATCTTGGGGTTAGACTGAATACTGTTTTACAAATAAAAGTACATAAAAATCATGGCATAACAGAAAATAATAATGAATAGGTAAGAAGATTCATTATTATTTTCTTGAAGAACTACATTTCCTTTCTGTTTTATCARCTGTGTTGAAAACATAGTCAACAARACTGATTTTCAATTTTTTTCKAAACCCAAAGAGCAAGGAGTTTTTTTATGCTGATAATGAATAGCATGTCCAAATTCCACATGTTCTGTGAGAAATAGAAATAAAGTACTTAGAAAGGAAAAAGTAAACTTCCATTACTAAACTTCAGATCTGACATTTCCCTTGCAAGGCAAGAAGCTGCAGAGATTTTGTTCAATTGTATAATAATGGCATCAACAAACAGAAAAATGCAAAATTCCCGATTAAAATCCTGAATAAAAATGGAAAATAAATTCTTCTCTCATTTATTWTGTGTCAAATGCATTAATCATCTGCAAGATAAGAAAGCCTGTAAGATGAGAACACATTTTGAAAATGTGCAAAACATCTGGCAAATGAGAAAACAAAATGAATACCTGCACAAGCCCTGGAGGTATAATATTTGCAGCAAAGTTCTTGTATAGGTACCAACCCTTAAATGTCAGTTGGAATACAGTACATTTTGCTACCAACTCCACTTTTTAAATTTAGTAACTTACATAAAAATATTTCTCCCACATGTATCTGGCAGAAAAAGAGAATAATTTTATACTCTTAAATCTGATCATTCTTTTTTTCCCAGTTTTGCTGAACATGAATTTTTATGAGCTGTCCCTTTTGGAAGAGTCTCTTGATGCCCCTCAAACTGTTGTTTTTGTACCTCAGCTTGTTCTTTTGCATGATATTACTAAATACATGAGATTTTGCTTAATATTTTTTACCACAGCTTCAACATGCTGCAAGAACAATGAGAGCAAAGTAGTATAATTTTTTAACACATTTTTTCTAAAGGCTAAGAGTAACCCTATCAGAGATCTTGTCCTTACTGCATAGATCTATCAGTATGTCAACCTATGAATAGGGCAAATRTTTGGAATTACCTAAGCAAGCACCACAGATTATCAAATGAATCTTTTCCAAACACAGCTATGTTTTCATAATCTCTATACTTTCAATTATTGTCACTATTTAGTCATCAGTCTGTAGTCACCATCACAACCAGTACTTTCAGGTCCTGTGGCATCCTGTAGTCAGGGCACATCTTACAGTAACAGGCAAAGGTGCTCACCAGTTTTGTGGCCAAGGCCAGTAATTTATTTACCAGCTAAAATTYAGATCCAAAACTTCTAAAGTGTAAAAAACCACCAAATACTCAAATAAAAAATGGGGGGAGGGATGATAAGAATGTGTCCCTTTACTATCCCCTTGGAGCAGCCTGTGTTTAGTGACTTCCACTGTGGTGCCAGGAAAGAAGCTAAAGTCCAAAAGCTGTCCTGTTCAGGTGTCAGTGGGTGGGGAATMATTTCTTAAGTCTTCTCTTTCCCATTATGAGCTTTCCAAGTTCCAGTAGTACCAGTTAAACCAAATTTGACAATTARGTCAAGGGTCTGTCTGCAAGTGCTGAAGTTTGGTGAGCCTGAAATCCCTATTTTAGCATTAATAACCCTGCTTGGTGGAGTTCKATCTCCTTGAAGTGAACCTCCAAAAAGAATTCTGTGTGTTTGCCCTCACTGAAATGTAACTTGAGCTCATGGTTCAACAGTCATTAGTACCAGATTGGAGCAGTGCTGAATTACAAAGAACTACAAACTGCCTCTTGATCAAGTGCAGACAAAGCATCTGTAACACTGTCCAGTGTCCAGAGAAGAGAACAAACTAAACTTCATGGGCTTGGACCAATTGTCAGAGAATGGAAAATACTCRATCTGATGTAGAGTGATGACAATGACACTTTGTTACTCATTAAAACTTTTTTGAATGAAAGAACAAAGAGAATGACTTTATACCAAGTCAATGTGTTTTGYTTCATCTGTCTACAGGATTTTGATTCAGTATTAGGATCAAAAAGTTGGGGTTTGGATACTATTGAAACGTGGCTTGGATCAGAAGCTGATTCTTATTTTTGCATAAAACTGCTAAGTTAAGCGTGGTGTTCTGAACTACTGAGATGGCCACCACACACATGATCACATCCCAGAATAACAGTGCTTAGCAGCCTTGTTGAAAATACAGTCAATGCTCCTAACTACAGGAGCCACATTCATAATGTGGCTTTAACAGCATCTTTGGTCAAGTCAAAGGCAATGTTTTTTGCTCAGAGATAAAATAATWGTGTAATTCTAATGACTCACTGGGAATTTACAGGCTGGTTATATTTCAAGTTTTGTTAAACAAATGTTGCTAATAAGCAACAGCAGGAACGTTTGAATGACTATATAAGAAATGGCTGTTGTGAAGCATTTTCATTATTTTTTTCCCCTTTCTCTTAGCGATAGAGGAAACAAACATACAGAATACTTGAGATAGCCACAGATCTCAGGCTTTATGTCTTGTTGAGTTTACACAGTTAATATCAGTTCTCAATAGATAAAACTGACGTAAGAAATACCTAAAAGAGCTAAGCTGGAGTTCTGAAATGTTTCCTCCCAGGGAGAACACAAACACACCCTTTAAAAGCTCCCATGAGGGTTTCTAATGAAATTAGAATGAGAATCTTAACAGTGACACAATGTACATTAAATACATATTTCAATACTTCAAATTCATGTAAGTGGGATCATTTTGATGATAATTTTTTCTGTTATGGATATTACTTGTTTCCACAAAACAAAATATAATACATGGTTTCACTTTCAGGATCTTACTGATAACTTCAGTATCGCAATGAGTGTTTTGGTGGTTTGTACAGTTTTTCTGGGTTTCCTCAAAATTCAATGTATTAGCTGTGTCTGAGACAATGCTGACCTTTTTATCCGTATTTAATGCAATTTATATTCCAAAGCAACAGTTCCTAGTTCAGATATTTTAAAGCTTTGCCAAACTCTTTTTTTCTTTTTTTTTTTTAATTAGGGAAATGTAGTCTTGTAAGTAGATGGGGCTTCTGAAGAAGGCAAAGCAATTGTGCAAGCTTTTTCCTGGTCTGTGTGAACGCACTTTGTGAGTGCGTTTCACCTCAGCTATGGAGAGATATMAAAAAACATACTTTTCTTCCCTTCACATAACTTTCAACCTATTAAACTCAATTTCAATGTTTGTGTTACACATCCAGTGGGACAGTATTTGGATGCCTGTAGCTAATTTGCTGAGAAAATCCCTTCTAATTGAATGCCCTGGTGTTCATGAATATCTGTAAAACACATCTTTCCATGTGTGTTTGCATATAATTGTATAATTTCATGTTGCACTTCTGAAAGGGAGTTCTTTGTTYCTCAGATTCAGATTAAAGCAAGATTAATCAAAAGTTCTTGACTCTGTTTTTTTCTTTTTTAAATACACTATCACTGGGATTTGAGAATRTCTGAGGATTTCAAGTAATACCAATAATATTTACTGTCTTCYTGTACAACTGTAGAAGAGAATACTACATAAAAATGAGGGATAACTGAGCAAAGGACTTTGCCAGTTTTTCACAGCAAAAAACTCACAATTCAAGAAGAAAGAACTTCTGTGGAATAGAAAAGGTTAAAAAAATTCAAGAGTGCATTACTTCCCTGTTCACAAGCACCAACACAGAATCTATAAATAGCTTTAAATATAAATTAAAACAAGTTTCTTGCTAAGATACCAGAAATCGTGATTTATTTTCTCAAAGACTTTATACTCACAATCTCATCTCCTGGCAACCAATATCCTTCTTGTTCAATACCAGCTTTTGACCCTTTACACCCCACTGTCAGGGTTTCCACAATGAGACCATCCTTGACTGCTAAACTCAGCTGACGTGTGGTTTCTTTTGGATGCATACCATGGACTCGAGACATATACCTGCACAAAAAGCACAAAAAAAAGGCCTTTTAGTCTCAGTTTTAAATGATAAAATGTGCCATATATTTATATAAAATATAAATATTTGCAAATGAGTTAAAATAATACACAGTCTAAGTTTTAGATTTTTTTTTAGACATTCAAAATTTATATAATTTCCCCCTTTACTTCCAATCAGCTTTCTTTTCCCTTTCCAGCTATCATGTACACACTTAAACAAGAGTAGAACAGCTTCTACAAAAAAAAAAATCCAAAATTAACACACACACTGCTTGAGCTTGTTGCTGCCACATACATTTGCGTTCTTTAAATTATTTTAAACCTTCATTTCTCTAATACTTCCTGTAGCATACATCCTACAGAATGCATCAATGAATCCTTGTGATGCTTGTGTGTACAACACATTTATAAAAAATTGTAAATTTATATATCCCATATGAAGACCCAACAACTAAAGTTACTGTGCTAAGTGGTTTTTTTTCTACTTTTCTTGAGATAACCACAAWGATCACACTGTGACAAACTGCCTTGGTGAGAAAAAACCACATGTACCATAACTCTGTGTATACATGAGATTCAGCTGTGTAATATTGACCTTTACCCAGTATTATTTATTTCTAGTCCAACACCAAGTATTAACGTGGAGTAAACAACATAAAATTATCTTCTCTGAAATAAAGATGACTTCTTTGCTTAAAAATCTTACAATTCAGATTTTTTAAACAAAATTCTGAGAACGTATCTAGGAGTTGCAGCAATCACATGCAATCAGCAGAAAAATGAATCAACTTGGAACCAATTATTATGTAGACAATATTTTCCTACTTACGGGTCTCTTAAAGTTACAGAGCTAACTGAATTTCTCTCCATTTTTATTTCTCCAGGTACTCTGTCTTTACCTGTTTCTTGACAGAGAAATCTGTAATTTGCCTGCTTTAAGACAAAGCTGTCAGCTATAGTATCCTCTCCTTCATGCTTCATAATGAATTCCAGCAACCATGATTCCTTCGTGACTGTCATCACAAACACCTTCACAAAAAATGTAATTATGATCACGAGCAAACTCAAGAAAGATTTATTTTAAAGCAGCAGCATGACATGAAAAAAAAGAAAGTAAAATCAGTTCAGATTTTTTTAATAACATGGATGACAAGAATTTTTAATGCCTTAGAAACTATGAACTTCGAAGTTATAAGGATTGAAGACCACTCCAGTGGTCAAGTCTTCAATCAACCCCTCTCTTTGAAGACATTTGCCTTTCAAATGTCTTACTGGTTTGGATGAATAAAGGTCTTTTCCTTTCCTGCTTTCTCTCTTGAGCTTTTGCTGGAACTGGTTTATGCTAATCTAACATTTATGTTTTGCTCTAAACTGTATATAAAATCTCAGTGTGTGCAAGCTAATCCTTTATAAGAAATAAGTAATAAYAAATGCAATTGATATAGAAAGATCAAAATTCTGTGCAAGTCCATGTTCCAAGCTAACATATATGAATCTTCTGGTGGTTTGCACATAGGGTCAAGGGCCAAAATCAGAAGATAAGGCTTTTTAGTTCTCTATCACCCTGGGTGGATGCTCATCTGCCCAACCTGACCCCTCTCTACTTCTACAGAAACCAAAACTCAACATGAGCACCTGTTCAAGTGAGATTAAACACCACAAATGAGTTTTCCAAATTCTCCAGATTCCAAGGTCTTAAACAGGCAGAGATTCAAATCTATTTACTATTTAGTATTTCAAATCTATTTACCTCACCTTAAAACAGAGTGTAAGTGAACACCACTATCAGTGGAAGCATAAAGTGCTGACGCATTAAAGCCACATGAAAACAGTTCATTTGCTTACATAATCATGTTACATGTATTTCACGAGTTTGTGCACACATGCAGATATTTATGCAAACAGAATTAGCTTTTTAAGTGCAAATTCTTAGTCAATATTTGCTAATGTTACCCTTTTTTCCACCAAATTTCCACCTCTGTACTCACAACCTCCATGACAGAGCCACAGTATTCATGTTGTCTGTAATTTATCCAAGCCTTTAACACGTCTCAAAATACAGAGAATAGGCTAACTATCACTCTTCCCATTTTAATGACAGAACAAACCAGATTCTGAGCATGGAAGTGATTTCCCCACACTTACATGGGGGCTGCTATAGGTCTGAGAACAGAAATSAAGTATTAACCCAATGCCATAATCCTCAGGGTATCCTGCTGAAGAATCCATGAATTTTGCACTGCATCATCCCCAGCTGCAGAAACACGGTCCAACCAAATTTTTAATGCCTTAGAGAGTAAAGCTACAAGTTTTATGTTTTCTCACTCACATCTCTGAACAGAGCAGATAAATAATACCAACCAAAAAGCCTTAAACCAACTCTAATCAGCTAAGAGGTTTAATCTGCCTATTTCCACTGTGGCAGGTTGTTCTCTAGTGAAAAGGAGCACAAGGCTCAGAATCRCCCATTTCTCAAATCCAATCTGTGTCCTCAACCAGAGTGAAAGTACCTCTGCCAACTAAACTATCTCCCCTTTTTCTGCAGCTGTAAATCAGGAGTGATAAATCCCCAGTGGCTTTTTGAAGAATATTTTAGTCTATGTTCAGACTACGCCACAGGAGAGCCAGAAGAGCAAATGTTTTCTATTTTTAAAATAAAATGTTATCAGCTTTCATAGGGAAGGACATACATGTAGASAGAATGTTTTTACGTTRAAGAGTAGAATGGCTGTTAGAAAASTGCACCCTCCCCCAAAATTTTACTTTATTAAAACCTAGGACGTGTACATGGCTACTTATTCATAAAGACTATAAAACAACACTGTMGGGTTTGGGTGATATATTATCTTGTTTCTTTTCAGCTAGAAGGACAGCAGGTAAACAAAGAAGTGATTAAGGGACGGGATTCAAACCAGAAAAGATAGTTAAAGTCCTTTAATAATGAAATGTGAAAAACCGCCACAATATGTAAAAAATGCTGAAACTACAGAGTAAGTTAAAAACCAGCTCAGAGACAGAAATCATGATGTTTGGAGCCCCTACTACTATGTCATCCTCATTACTGGATAAGGGAGAAACAATATTGAAATGCCTTTATGAGGAAGTGACACCGCTAATCCAGGGAGTGCAAGTCTTTTCCTGGCATGGCATGCACTGGAGCATCTGGCATCAACAAGTTAAAAAACAAGTACAGGAGATAAAGCAATCCCCTGTTGCTGTTTTCAACAAAAGCTGATTAGCCTTACCTTGGAGACAGGGAGTTG